ATTTTATAAAAATTTCAAAAATAAGAATCATTTTAAATAAAGATTACTAATTTATGGTTCAAAAACTATTGTTTTCTAACGAAAAATAAAAAAGTATATATTTTCATATATATAGTTACATATATACAGTTTTTAGTACTTGTTTAGCACAGTTTTTTTGAATAAACTTTTCAAATTTGTGTTTCCATAAATTTTTAAAATTATTTTTGAATTTTTTATAAAACTTCACTTCTTTTGAGACCCAACATGATATGCTTTTTAAGAGCTTTTTTTGTGTAAAATATTAGGGACCTGTCTGATGTTCAAGGGTCTTGAGCAACCGCTAAAAAAAATTTTTATTCCAAAATTTTTAAAGTTTATTATTAATTTATTACATAGAACACATATAATATAGGGGGTATAACATATATGTATATGTATATATATATGTATATATATGTATATGTATATATATGTTTATGTATATATATGTATATATAAATATATGTATACATACCCCCTCCCCTATTTATTTCCACTCCAACCCTTTCGTATTAAACACCCGATTTAATGAAAAATGATATTTTATCATTTTTAATGGTATAAAGAAAATCACAAAATAGTGAGTTTGATAGTATCAGCCATCTTTTCATTCTTAACCTTTTTTTACTATAATGGCTGACAGCTTAAATGTTGGTATTGTTAAACTAAGTAATTGAATTTAAATTTGGAAAAGAAACTATATCTAAAGATAGTTTTATAATTATACAACTATTGAATATTATTTCACAATGTGAAATAATATTAAATTTTGTTATTTTCATTTATTGGTTGATGGCATGTTTTTGTGAGCTACACTTTAAGCTTTATATAATTATCCACTCTGTTAATATAAATTTAATTTTTATATTGTATATGTTTTTTATTATTTATATTATCATATTTAGTCTTTTTTTACACATATATTTTACATTCATAAAAAATGATATTTTCTTTATACCATTAAAAATGATTTTTACATCTGATATTTTTTACATAGAACACTTTTTATGACGTACCCTAATAAATAAATAAATAAATAAATATATATATATATATATAATATATATATATATATATATATATATATATATACATATAATATATATATATATATATATATATATATATATATATATATATATATATATATATATATATATATATATATATATATATATATATATATATATATATATATATATATATATATATATATATATATATATATATATATATATATCCTCCCCTATTTAGTTCTACTCCCACTATTTTGTATTAAACACTCAATAGTACTTTTTTGATGTTATTTGATCAAAAATTTATAGAAAAGCAAAATCATGTTAGTATTTTGAAAAATATCCTTAACAATTGTGAACAGATTGGCTACTATGAGGCATAGAGTCAACTAAATTAATGGGAACTGATGTTTGCATCCCCATATTGGCTTGATTTTATTGAATAAATCAGCATGCTTTGTAGGCTTGATGCCTTTTATTTGATGCTCAACATGTTCCTACAATGCTTAATGGAATTCAAGTCAACTTCTTTCTTCTTAGAAAATTATTTAAATTGAAATGTATAGGATTGTTATTCTGCTGGTATATCATGACCTATGAGGAATTTTAACTTTTACATGAGGTAACATAATTCCAGTAATTCTATGGAGTGAACAATAATAACATCTTCAATATTTTACGGTAGGCTATATTTTACTTAACCTCGTAAATTCAATCTGATATAACTTTTAAAAATAATTGTTGACTTCTCGACATTAGGTGCTTTGAAACAAATTCTTATTGGGTATTTCAATTTTTCAAGGAAATCAATAGCTTTTAAGTAAGCATTGTTTAAAAAAATTAGCATAAGGTAAACAACATTTTTTAGTAGAAATTATACAACTCATTTCATAGCTGTAAACCATTTTCTTTGTTTATAATCATGAATTATTCACATAAACACTCAAAAGAAATTTTAGATGTTTATCCTTAGGTGAAAAACATCTAAAGGTATGTACGTGTCTATGCAACTAAAGGTGCATAGGTGTTTACACAACTAAAGGTGTGTCTGCGTCTAACGCAACTAAAGATGCATAGGTGTCTATCAATAGGTGCATAAATATGTCCAAATTTTAATTAAATTTTGCACTTATTTATAAAATTTTTAATTTTATAAAACAAAAAATTAGGGAAAAATTTACAAAAACAGCTCATAAATTAATACTAAATTACTATTTAACAAATAAAATTAGTAAGCAACATATTTACCTGCATAAATTTGTAATCTATGCATATCTCTTGTCATAATTAAATTCAGCTTTTTCATCAATGGATTTCAGTGACTATAATCTTTTGATTTAAAAAGCCTCAACATGCTTGGCCTGGGCATGTCCTTGTACATGTGTGGGTATGTACTTGAGTATTAATTCAATTATTTGTTATGAAATCCTCTGACTGATTTTTCAATGTGCTTATGTTTAACACCTCTACACTCAATCCCAATCCCCCTTTTTTAATATGCTTTTGTTTAGCATCTCTACACTAAATCCTTTTTTTTTTGTTCTTATTCAATATTCTTCTTTCCATGACTGCACTATTTTCAATGTTATTCTTTATTAAATTGACAAAGCCCTTTCTCTTTATCTATCAGGCAATATTGTTGCTAATGGCAACTTAAATGTTTGTTACACTGAATGATTTAAGTATCATAAAGCTCAAAAAAAAAAATTTTAACTTCTTACCAAGATAGTTAACTTAGTGTCTCCTTTCCAGACAACCCTTATTACCAACCTGCATTCCTAGAAATAGATCTTGTCTTTGACGCTAGCTTGTACTTTTTATCATCATTTTTTATCAGACTTTATATTTTATAGTCATTGCACTTGTAACTTCTATTTTCAAACTGACTGAAATTCTTTTGTGATTTTCTTTGTGATGGTCTTTAGATTGATGTTAATTATATCTCTGCTGGAAATTGTTGAAAAATTGGAAATCTCTGTGAAAACCTCTGGATTGATTCAGACGAGGAAGTTTTTATTCTTTTTCAGATGCTTTTAGTCAACGTTTACCATTTCTTTTCTACTCTACCCCTTTCTTATTAGAGTATTAATATTAGCTTATTTCTTATTACTATATATTCTGGTAAAATGCCCTAGTACATAAAATTTAGAAACACAGAAACTCAAAGAAGATTGTAAAATCCTGTCATCGAGAACTGTTTAGCAATATAATAAAAACAACCAGGTATTTAAAAAATACAATAACATACAGTTAACAATAATACTGTTAACAAAATAATACTGTGAAACAACAATATTTAAAAACTTTAATTATTTCAAATAGAAAACATTTTTTAAATAAATATTGTATAAATAACAGAATATTTCTAATATTATTTGAAAGAATCACACAATACAGATCACAATAAGAATAAAGCTCAAAAGAACTCGAATTTATAATCAAATAATAAAATAATTTTTTTCCGTTTATTTTTAAAGAAAAGAAAACTCTAATTTTGAGAAAAATCAATTTTTTTAAGTTGATTTTTCCTTCTTGGGCTAAAGCTATTTTTAATCAAAATGAATTTTAATTTTTTTAATGAGTATGACTTTTTTGAAAACAAAAACTTAATTTTTAACAAAAATGTTAAAGATAAAGGTTTTAATCTTAGATTACTAAATTTATCTCAGAAATCCAAAAAACTTTTGATAAACATCAGAGTCATTAACAAAGTATAAAACTTTATCACTTCTCATTCTCTAACTCTTAACTTCATTTCATCACTTCTGATTCCATTCTCTAACTCTTAACTTCATTTCATCACTTCTGATTCCATTCTCTAACTCTTAACTTCATTTCATCACTTCTGATTCCATTCTCTAACTCTTAACTTCATTTCATCGCTTCTGATTCCATTCTCTAACTCTTAACTTCATTTCATCACTTCTGATTCCATTCTCTAACTCTTAACTTCATTTCATCACTTCTGATTCCATTCTCTAACTCTTAACTTCATTTCATCACTTCTGATTCCATTCTCTAACTCTTAACTTCATTTCATCACTTCTGATTCCATTCACTCTAAAAATCTCTTAACTTGCCCATGGACCAAAAAGTGGTATATGGAAAAATTAAGAGATTTAAAACAATTGTTGCAACCACAAGAATTATCACAATTTGGTCCTGTGTATTACAGTTTCTATATTAATTACTTTCTTGATAATCTTTTATTTTTAACTCTCTATCTAGGTTTTATTTACTAACAACACAACTACATACTTCAGTCAAGAGAGTTGTTGGACCTGCTCAAGGCTATAAAGTTTATGCCCCATTGTCATAAGGTTGCTCATCATTTTCTTTTCTATAAATGATAACAAAATTGCTGCTCAAAGCAAACTGAAAAATTTCTTTTCTATCAAATATACAATACATTTAAAATGCTCTCTACATTTAAAATGCTGTTTAAAAAATTGGATTTAAAAATTTTAATTCAGTCCAAATTATTAAACAGCATTTTCGATATTTCGATTTTCATTATTTCTTTTTATGAAGATACATTTGTATACATATCTCATAATCAGATTAAACTTTTAATAAAAATATATTTTTGAAATTGTAACGAAATTGTAATTTTAACTGAAAAAAAAAAAAAGATTAGGTGTCAGTATTTTGTAAATGAATAATGCAAATCATCTGCTTCCAAAACTATTATTTAAATATTGACAATTATTATGAAGTCTCCTCTAACTTTTATTCGAAAGCTATTGATAGAAAATATTAGAATATTTTTTTATAGAATTAATCAACATTAATTTTATAGCATAAATTGTTTAAAAATCTGAAAAAAAAGTTTATAATAAATAATCATACTTTAAAGCATAAATGTTTACTATTCTTTTTTGTATTTACTTGAGTTAAAAAGAACTTCAAAACATAATTAAAATCTTTTTACAAACTTATTTAAAAGACCTTAAATTATCTTACCAAATCTTTATTTGCAATATCTGCATTGAGACATAAGGTATCATTACAACTTGCTTTTTTCATAAAGTTCACTATTAAATAAAGTTGACAGCGATTCCAATTGGGTAACAACAATAAAGTATGCTGTAAAATTTTGATAACAGCTTTTGGGTCTGCGTGCAACATAGCTAAATTAATTACAATATATATGTATGTATGTATATTTATATATATATATATATATATATATATATATATATATATAAAATATATATATACATATATAATATATATATATATATATACATATATAATATATATTTATATATACATATATATAAACATATATAATATATATATATGTACTTTTATATATACATATATATATAATATATATTTATATATACATATATATATACATATATATATATATATACATATATATATACATATATATATATACATATATATATACATATATATATATATATATTTATATATACATATATAAAATATATATATACATATATAATATATATATATATATATACATATATATATATACATATATAATATATATTTATATATACATATATATAAACATATATAATATATATATATATGTACTTTTATATATACATATATATATAATATATATTTATATATACATATATATAAACATATATAATATATATATATGTACTTTTATATATACATATATATATAATATATGCATATGTATGTATATATACATATATAATATATATACATATATAATATATATATACATATAATATATATATACATATAATATATATATATATATATATATATATATATATATATATATATATATATATATATATATATATATATATATATATATATATATATATATATATATATCAACCCTCGGATTTACCATTAGAATTTGGCAATGCCAACCTAAAAGTGTTTAAGGTTGGTAAAAATTTGCAACCTTGTTTCTATGTTTTATGGTTACCCTCTTGGGTCTAAATATTTTTTTGCCGAACTGATGCCAATGTTTGACAGTTTGAGGTCGGTAATTAACTGTTGACTTGATTTTTCTTAATTCCAAAGGTTATATATATATATATATATATATATATATATATATATATATATGTATATATATATATATATATATATATATATATATATATATATATATATACATATATATATATATATATATATATATATATATATTAATTTATAAAGAGAAAAAAAACAACTTTTTATGGTACTAATAGTTTCATGCCTAAAGGCAATCATCAGCCATGTAATACAAAACAAGAAACAAAAAAAAACATTAAAATATAAAGTTACAGTGGAGTGTGCTCCGTCGTCAAAACAAAACAAAAACAAAAAGATAAGAAAAAACTAAAAACGGCTGCCTAATCACTCGTATCGAAATTCGAAAGGAGGAATTTGCTTTTATGTCTATTATGAAAAACATCCCCCCAGAATCAGATAAAAGTTGCAATTGTATTACTAAAAGCAAGTGCCCTTTAAATCAACAGTGCCTCGTTAATAACATAGTGTATCAAGCCACTCTATATCCAGGCACTCCAGACGGGATTGAAAAAGTTTATTTTGGAGTAAGTGAAACTGCTTTTAAACTTAGATACACTAATCATACAAAATCTTTTAACATCGAAAAATATAAAAACGATACTGAGTTGTCTAAGGAAGTATGGAAGTTAAAAGAAAATGGAGTAAACCCGACAATTAAATGGAAAATTTTAAAACGTTGTAGATCTTACAATCCTACAATAAAACGATGCAACTTATGTCTATACGAAAAGTATTTCATAATATCATACACCCATGATAACTTATTAAATAAGAGGAATGAATTAGTATCTAAATGTAGACATAAAATCAAATTCCTCCTTTCGAATTTTGATACGGATGATTAGGCAGCCGTTTTTAGTTTTTTCTTATCTTTTTGTTTTTGTTTTGTTTTGACAACGGAGCACATTCCACTGTAACTTTATATTTTAACGTTTTTTTTTGTTTCTTGTTTTGTATTACATGGCTGATGATTGCCTTTAGGCATGAAACTATTAGTACCATAAAAAGTTGTTTTCTTTATTTTTATAAATTAATATAATGCTCTATTAAATAATATAAATAAATCCTATTTATTTATTATTGAGCACTCTTATAAGTGCAAGAGTTTTTTGTATTTTATTGCAAATACAAAATATCATACAATATATATATATATATATATATATATATATATATATATATATATATATATATATATATATATATATATATATATATATATATATATATATATATATATATATATATAGTAAAAAAATTAGTCAACAAAATAAACAATAAACGAAATATTTTCTTCTTTTGATTTTACAAAAATTACTCTAATTATAAATTAAAACCACTAAAGAAGTAGGATTATTTAAATGTAATGATAATCGTTGCAAAATATGTAAATTCTACCTTCAAGAAGTTAAATCATTTACGACATCAAATGGTATTATATGGAACATAAAAAGCCATATTACTTATAATAGTAAGACGGTAATATATTATTTAAAATGTTTGTCGTGTAACAAGAAAGCTACATACACCGGAAAAACAAATAACCTACGACTTCGCACTAATGGGCACATTTCTAGTTGTAGAACTGGGCAATCAACAGATAGGTTTGATAACCATGTATACAATTGTCAACGTGCACATAACTCCATTATAGAACCTTTTTTCCGGCTTTTTGTGTTTGTGGAGCTAAAAAATGAAAAAAACCTAATTTCTTATGAGAAACATTTTCACAACCAAAAACATGATACTTTTAATTGACATTACAGGCCTTGTTTTAAAGTGTTACGCCTAGAGCGATTTACGTACGCCTTAAGCGCTTTTTACGTACGCGTAGAGCTGTTTTGGTTAAGCTACTTTTTATCATTTTTTTAACTTTTAAATTAGCGGTAACATTAAAGAAGTAATTAATTTTCAAAAAAACCACATTAACTTTTAAATAACGGTATGTAAAGATATTTATTTAAAAAAAGAATTTAATTTAAAAATAATTGTTGTAACTTTTCATCGCGATATATCTTTCCTTTTTATAGCAATTAATTTGACACTAAACTTTTTATCCAAATATTTAGCAACATGAAAAATATATTGTCAATGCTTAACTACAAATTTTTTGCAATGTTTTTTAATAAAAAGGAGTAATTTTTTAAAGTTTTTAGTAAAAAACTTTTAAAAAATCTATATTCCATATTTATTAATACAGAATATAAATGTTTTTTGTAATATAGATTTTTTAAGAATTTTTTACTGAATTTATAATAAAAAACATTTGCAAAAAAATTTGTAATTAAGAATTGACATTTTTTTGAATATCTCAAAAAATGTCATAATATTTTTGTTATCATGATGACAAAAAAATCAAGACATTTTTTCGAGATATTAAAAAAAATCTCTTTGCTTTTCTTATTAGTTAAAGGTATATAGATACATTTACCTTTAAATTATGCGGGGGGAGGGGGTCGACACAGAAAAAAAAATTACCTGTTACTCGCAATATTTGAATGAAGACAATTTGTTAAATTTCTTCTGTGTGCAATTCAATAAGTTTTTTTTTTTTCATAAATCAAGTTATATTATAAGGTAAAGAAATCATGAGTAGACTACAACATCCGCTGATGACACTAATATTACGTTGAATATATTTATATAACGGAGGTTTTATTATGCACGCGCACATTACAGGTTCCGTTCAATAAATACTAAGGCACGTTTTAGTTTAATGACAGTCTCCATTTTTTACTAATGAATATGTATTTTTCTTTATAAAAAAAAACAAACTAGTATATAAAAACCTTGTATATTTCTATTATCTCTAAATTGTTTAAAGTTCGAATATGGATTGTATTTTGAAGGACAAAAGATTTACTTTAAAAACTTTTAAATCTTGGGACTTTGCCGATGCAATGATCAAAGAAAAAGAGAAGACTTACGTTATTAAAATCAAATGTAAGTTATGTGATTCTTCATCAAAATAAAATAATATCCAAAAACAATAGTGCCGTAAGGGCAACTGCCCAACGGTTTATAAATAATACAAGTCATGTTAAAATATTTCAACATGTTACTATATTTTAATTAAGTTGATATATAATTAAAAATAAAAATATAGTTCAATAAATAAATTAAATTTATTCTTAACAGAGATTACCTCATATTTATTCTTTTTTTTATTTTATTAAGTTAAACTGCTTACAAACGAAAAAAAAAAAAGAGTTTTGTAATTATACGTAGAATGAAAATACTTTTGAGTTTGTTTATAAGTTAAGGAACTTAATTTTTAATAAACAAAATTTTTTACGAAAGTTTATTATAAACAGATACGATTCAAATTATTAAATATACTTAAACTATTTCAGTTGAGTATTTTTTAAGTTTGCACGATAAAAGTTTGGTGTAATAGTATTTGTTTTTTTGGTTTAAGAATAATTAACAAAAGAGTTTGCATAATTAAGTCTTTTATATTTAATTTAATTTTTTTTAATTTCCTAAAATAAAATAAAAAAGATTTAATCGTTGAAAACAATTTTTCTGTTTCTTTGTGAAATGTTTAAAAAGTTAAATGTTTTTACAATAACATAAAAAATTTATGAATTAAATTCCTAGCGAACGCGTTCTAAACTACGTATCAAAAATATGCTCAAAGCAGACAAAACTTTTTTATATTATTATAAAACGCAAGTTGAAACGCTTTTATTAATTTAAAAAATATTTAAAAACTTAAATTTTTGTTTGCTAGTCAAAACAAAATCGTTGTTTAAATAATTAACATGGGTTTGTGTTTATCAATGTTAATTTTTTTTGTTTACTCTAGAAATTTTTAAAAATAAAAAAATCATTATTATTTTTATTCAATAACGATTAAAAACAATTATTCAAAAACAAATTTCAGAAATAATATATATATATATATATATATATATATATATATATATATATATATATATATATATATATATATATATATATACATATATTTTACTAAATAATATTGAACTAAAATTAATAATAAAATAACAATGGAAAACATTACAAAATTTTCATAATAAATTTATATTTAAAACGTTTATAGTTTATATTTGAGCTAATTGTTAAATTGAACTAGTTTGCGGTTATTTATTTATTGTGGTAGTTAAAACACTTAACGTCTATAAAAAAAAATAAAGATAATTTTATGACGTCAAAATCGCGTTAAGCTAATGCATTAAGCACTTTTTTATTTAAAACAAGGCCTGCATTATAATAAAGATTACAATAGTCGCTAACAGCAACATTAAATAATTATCATTTCCTGTTTTTTTAAAAAAATTATATTTTGTTGTTATAATAACAAAAACAGCACTACTGATGATTTTTTGAAAGGCCTCTTGTGCTAAAATTTATAATTAGAGTAATTTTTGTAAAATTAAAAGAAGAAAATATTTCGTTTATTGTTTATTTTGTTGACTAATTTTTTTACTTATATATATATATATATATATATATATATATATATATATATATATATATATATATATATATATATATATATATATATACATATATATATATATATATATATATATATATATATATATATATATATATATATATATTTATATATATATATATATATATATATATATATATATACATATATATATATATATATATATATATTTATATATATATATATATATATTTAGATATATATATATATAGATATAGATATATATATAACCTTTGGAATTAAACTGTCAGACATTGGTCGGCAAAACCGAATTTTTTTTGCCGACCACAAACACATTTAGGTCGGCAGTTAGGTCATTGGAATTAGGGTTGGCATTGCCGAATGCCAACCCTAATTCCGAGGGTTTCAAATTTTTAGTTTATTAAAAACTAAAAGTTTATTAAAAACCATGAACACTGTTTTAATGTAACGGTCAATTTATCATATTGCAATAATCAATCAAAAAACAAAATAATGAATTTACTACTGTAAAAGTAATAACAATCAAAACTAACATATTTTTAATGATTGTTTTTTTAAACACCATGTAATTTAAGGATTATAAATAAAAAAAGTTATAATAAAAAAGTTACTAAAGGTCTGAAAAATTTGTGCAGTATTTTAAAAATTAACCAATAAAAAATAATGGTGAAGCTATTTGCGCATTGTATTAAACATTATTATTGATTTTTGTTTAGGGGTAAAGTTTAAGGAATTATTTATTTAAAAATTTAATTGTTTTAAATTAAAAATTAATAAATTGATAATAAAAATAATAATCAAGATATATTAAAAAATAAGTTTTTTTTGTTTTGTTTTAAAATGACTAAAAAAATAAAATGAAATTTTTATAATAAATATTTTAAATTAGTTTTTGTATATTTTTAAACTCCTCTGTCTTAAATTTAGTATACATATCTGCAAAAGAGTTACGACCATTTAATTTAAAAGAAAATATTGAATAAGATTTAAAAAAGATAAAAATTTATATTTTATTCAAGGATTTCTTTTATTTAAAATATTTGATCACCGCTAAATTCCTTTAGACTGTTGTGATTAACGGTTGTTCTGATTTAATTAAAAAATATTTATACACAAAGATTAAGTAAACACATTAAAGTAAAATTTAATTTTACCTTCACACTCTTGCAATAATCCAAAAAAATGATAAGGGAAAAGAGGCTCAGTTAAATTCTTTTCATAATACTCTTTAATAGTTTGAAATATATCTCTCTCTAATTCTTCATGATTTTTAAAAGTAGTTTGATTATCTTTCAAATTCTCATAAGATTCTGGCCCTAGAAATTGAATATACATACATACACGCATGTATAAATACATACATACACACATATATATATATATATATATATATATATACATACATTAATACATATATATATATATACTTTCATACATACATACATACATACATACACATACATACACATACATACATACATACATACATACATACATACATACATACATACATACATACATACATACATACATACATACATACATACACACATATACATACAATTTTTTAGCTAGTTTATTTTATCTTCATGACAATAAAATGAATTAAAAATTATGTGTTTTAACTCATTTAACTTGTAAAGCTGTCACTTAGTTACTTAACAGAATAAAAATCAATAAAAACTTATTTCAAATAAGTTATATTTCTCTAAAACTATTATCTCATTCTTCTTTACCATTAGAATCCCCCTATCATCGTACATCTTACAACTACCTTAAAGCTGACTGGGACTCTTTTCGTGACTTTCTTCGTGATGGCACCTGGGTAGAAAACTTTCGTCTCCCTGTTGACAAATGTGCTTCTTACATAACTTCGTGGATTCAGGCTGGAATGGAATCCTTTATTCCCTCTTAACGATTCCAGGTCAAGCCTCACTCTTCTCCATGGTTTTCCTCACATTGTGCTGCTGCAATTGCCAATCGAAACCATTACTTCCATATCTATCAGCAAAACAATTCTCCAGAAAACAGACGTCTCTTTATTGCTGCTAGGAACCATGGTAAAAACCCGCTATTCTCAGATCATGAAATCTCGTATTTCATCACAAAAATTAGGCTCTCGTGACTTCTGGAGAATCTTTAATAGTATCAATAATAAGGGCAAGTCTGTAATTCCACCTGTTTTGTACGGTTCAGACTTTGTCACCTCACCTAAAGACAAAGCTGAATTGTTTGCCAAGAACTTTTCATCAATATCATCTCTTGATGCCACTAGTTGCGTTTTACCTGATATACCCGTCAAACAGGTTGATCCATTGCTCAACATTCGTATCACTCCAGCTTCTGTATTTAAAGTGATTTCCCGCTTAGACTCTTCTACAACTTGCAGCCCGGACAACATACCTGTTATAATCTTGAAGAAGTGTTCTCCTGAGCTGTCGTCTATCTTTTCAAAACTATTCAACAAGTGCTTATCAGAGTCTTGTTTTCCAGCCTGCTGGAAAGCAGCATCTGTTATCCCTATTTTCAAAAATTCTGGAGAGCGATCTGACTCATCTAACTACCGTCCCATTAGTCTTCTTCCTATCATAAACAAGGTTTTTGAATCTTTAATTAACAAACACTTAATCTCTCATCTCGAATCTCATAACCTACTTTCTGATCGTCAGTATGGATTTCGATCTTCTCGTTCTACGGCTGATTTGCTATCAGTAATAACCGATAGGTTTTATCGCGCACTAGATAAAGGTGGAGAGGTTAAGGCCATTGCTCTTGACATTTCTAAAGCGTTTGATAAAGTTTGGCATGCTGGTCTCCTCCATAGCTTTCTTCTTATGGTGTATCTGGAAACATCTTTAAGATTATTGAATCTTTCCTTTCCAATTGTAGTATAAAAGTTGTCCTTGATGGACAGCACTCTTCTTTTTATTCTGTAACCTCAGGGGTTCCGCAAGGTTCAATCCTTGGCCCTACACTCTTTTTAATTTACATTAACGATCTTCCAGATATTCTCACATCTAAGGTGGCATTGTTCGCTGATGATACTACCATTTATTCTTGTCACGATAAGAAGCAAACTCCCTCTGATTGCTTGCAGGGGGCATCTGAGCTCGAAAAGGATCTCACTTCTGCTACAGCATGGGGCTCGCAGTGGCTGATGAACTTTAATTCAAATAAAACTCAATTTTTTTCGGTTAATCGTTATCGCAATAATTTAGACCTTCCTATTTTTATGAACGGTAATGTACTCGATGAGTCTCCTACCCTTCATCTTCTAGGATTAACTCTTACTTCTGATCTTTCTTGGAAACTTTATATCAAATCTGTTGCAAAATTAGCATCTGCTAAAGTTGCTTCTCTTTATCAAGCTCATCACTTTCTTACTCTGGATTCTATTCTCTATCTCTATAAATCTCAAATCCGGCCTTGTATGGAATACTGTTGCCATATCTGGGGCGGATCTTCTAATGATGCCCTTTCTCTTTTAGACAAGGTGCAAAAACGCATTGTAAACATAGTTGGACCTGCTCTTGCAGGTCCAACTATGGACCTGCAAGAGCAGGTCCATAGTTGGACCTGCAATAGTTGTCCATAGTTGGACCTTGCAACCTTCAACCTCTGTCACATCGTCGTAATGTTGCTTCTCTTTCTCTTTTCTACAAATACTATAATGGGCACTGCTCTAAAGAGCTAGCGTCTCTTGTGCCATCTACTAAAATTCATTCTCGTGTTACTCGTCATTCAATTAAGTCTCATCCTTTTTCTGTTACTGTTCCTAAGTGCTCCAAAAACTCTTATTCGTCTAGTTTTTTTCCTCGAACATCAGTTCTTTGGAATTCGCTTCCTTCATCTTGCTTTCCTGATTCATATAATTTGCAATATTTTAAGTCGTCTGTCAATCGTTATCTTGCTCTACAATCTTCATCTTTTCTCTTCCAGTAACTTCCAACACTAATTAGTGGTTGCTTGCAACCTTGTTGGAAGCGAAGATAATAAAAAAAAAAAAAAAAAAAATTTAAAGACAATAGAATGTTTAAAAAATTTGTTTTTTTGAAAGATAAAATAATTTTAAAACATAAATAACAAATACTTTTTAAATATATAATTCATTCAGATTAATTTAACTTTAACTTAGAGGCAAAAAGAGCAAACTATTTTTAAATATAAACAAAAGAAAAATTTCTATCATATGTAACAATGTAGTTATCACACAAGTTTTTTTTGAGTGAGTTAACTTTTGATCGTTAGTTAGCTATTTTATTTTATCCAAAAAACAAAAAAAAAGAAATAAAAACTTTTTCAGAAGTGTCTCTCTTCACATTTTTTTCGATTTTTTTAAAAATAGTAAAAAAAAAATTACAAGACCCCCATCAGTCCTATTAATTAAACTTGAGTTTTGAAATAAGAATAAAATAAAAGATTTATAAACAAATTTATAAGTTTTAAACTGTGTATGTTAGTGTACTTTTTTTATTTTTAAAGTTCATTTTTTAATATATTTTTTCAAATTTTTTTAACTTTTTTAGTTTACTGGCTTTTGAATAAGTTGATCCTAATTTACCACTTCAGTTGCATAAGTTTTTTTTTTTTTTTTAAATCACAAAGTAAACATAAGCATTGCAGTTTGTTGATGTTAAATCTTAAACAGAAGTTTTTGATTATGTGAAAGAGTGGAATCAGAAATTATTATAAACTAATGCATATAAAATTTTTTCTAATCAAAGAACTTTTAATTATTGGACCAATTGAATATCAAACAACTTTTTTGTAGCTGTTTGGTAACTAATTATAGGATAACTAGTTACCAAACAGATTTTTTTTTTGTGTGCAACCCTTGGAATTAGAAAAAATGAGATCGACAATAATTTGCGGAACTTAATATTTTAGAGGAAATATTTTAAAACTTAATTTGTTTTCAGACACTGCCATTATTTAAAAACATTATGACTAAGTTTTTTTGCGATTTTGTCTCATTTTATCTATCGCTAAATCTGTTCACATCAGGTCTAAGTAAAGTTTTTTAAATCTTGAATTAATCTTATCATATTAGTATTAGATAGAATCAAAAAATTTTCAGATTAATTTTGATAAAAATTAACTTAAAAGTATCAATGCGTCAATTATGCGTGTCAATTCTTAAATCACAAATTCTGCTCATTTATTGGAACTTCAAGGAGGGTTAAAACTATTTTGTTAAACATCTAAGCTGACAAATAGCTGATAAATTATATTAATGCTCTAAATCTTTTTACAGAACAAAATTATTTGTACAAAATTATTGTAAAAAAATTTGAGAAACCCTCTTTGTAAAACTTTAAAAAACAACAACAATAAGTGGTATAACCACCTTAGAACATCCATGATATGTGTTTATTGTGTCCCCAAGGCCAGGAGGCCAACTACATTTGAGGAGGCTTTTTTTTCTGGTTACAACCCTCTGTACTATTCAACTCGGAAACACGAACCTTGATGAACATGGTTAATTCAAAAAAAAAACATGAAACTAAACACAGACACAATTATAGCTTTGATAAATCAAATTAGTGGTCACAAGAGGTGTTTTAAAAACATTTAAGAAATGTTTACACATTAAAACATATTTTATGTCTTAAACATGTCTTGAGCCCTTGGAAAGTCAGACCATATAAATACAAAAACTAATGAAATCAATGATTATCCAGGCTATATTCTAAAAACTAATGGAATAACAGTATCAGCCCTTAATGGCATAGATTTTGACGTTCTCTGAACTTTATGTCAGCTTTATATTCATATAGCATTATGAGTTATATTAAAAACATTTGAGTCAACATAAATTTTTGTTAAAAATAACTCTAGTGCAATTTATAACATTTAAAATGAGTTGATTTTTTTAAATTATTGTGAAAATATGCATTTTTTGCAATGAGAGTATAAAATTAAAAAAAAGAACACATCAAAAGTGTTTTAGTAAGTGTTTACAATTGAACTTTGCAACACTATGGGTTAAACATTTAACTAAGTAGAATACCTGATGGTAGAATACCAGATGAAAGAATACCTGATAGTAGGATACCTGATGCTTATTTTTTTATTAAAAAAAAGTTGATTAAACTTTTTTTAATTTTTTTTAATATGGAGTGTAAGACTATGTTTTTTGATTTTGTTTTTAAAAAAAAAATTAAACTAACCTAAAATTAAAATTAAACAATGTTTTAAAGTGTTTGTTTTTTTTTCTAAAAAAAATATATGATTTTTAGTTTTATTATGATCTTGTTTTAAAATAAAAAAAACAAATACGTAATAAAAAATATTTCTGATCTTAAATTTGAGTCAAAGTAATTAACTGTGAAAAATATTTTATAATGCTTTAAAATACAAAAACCTACAGTTAATAAGACAAGATAATGCCGATAGCAACCATGCAGGGGTATCTTTTGTATCTAATATTAAAAAAATATTTGTAAATATAAAAAAATCTATTTATAAATATTATAAGCACAAGGAAAATGAATTGAATTAATAATAAATTTTCACCTTAAACATAAAATACAACTTTTTTCTAATAATTAAAATTTAATCAAAAAATCTAGACAAAGAAAAATAACAAATATGACAAATATTTTACTAGTAGTTTTAAAAAAAAATACCATTTTTTGCTTCAACATTTCGGATGATTGAACCACCAGATATAGAATTTTCATCAAGATATCCTGATAATTTTTCTACTTGCAACAGTTTTCTTAGGCTATCATAGAAAAATATATTTATATTAATTGTTTTTATGAGAGTCGCCACTCAACAGGTATTGAAAATAGACGATTTTAAATTTTTATCAAGAAAAACTACTGTATATATATATATACATATATATATATATATATATATATATATATATATATATATATATATATATATATATATATATATATATATATATATATATATATATATATATATATATATATATACAGTACCATTTCAATAATAGTTTCTTATTGGTTAATGTTGCTCATAGGGAAAAAAGGAATATAAAAATACTTACTATATACTAAATATTTTTACTTATTTCTTTTACTAACTAAATGTGTAGAATAAATAGATTCAGTTTTATTTTGCAAATATTGCATTTTATTATTATCATAAAAGCATAGTTATTATTATTATTTTAAAAAAATTTAACAATCAAATTTTAATAAATCTTTGGTTTAGTACAGCACTAATTACCAAAACAAACAAAAACATTGTAAATTTTACATGTATATTTAAACATCTTTAAATGTTTCAAATATTCATCTCTAACCCACCATTTTTATATAAAATATGCAATGTAAAGTACACAATGTAAAACAACTTTTAAAAAACTTGTGTATAATGCAAGGTCTTACAATTTTTTAATAAATTTTATAAAATTATACATATATTCAATCATAAAATCTTTTAATGTTTTTACTTTATGACTAATACTTTTACAAATTTATGTGCAATATTGAATTTTATTTTAATACCCAAATATTAGTACATTTGCGCCAGCAACAATCTTATTACTTTTTATTATTTGTTCATAATAGCTTTTACTCTTATTTTTAGTAACAAAAGAACCTGATTGCAGGGTAAGTCATTTTCTTTTGCCCATTCTATCACCAAATTAAAAGAATTTATAACCTCATCAATGTTTTTCTTGGAGTCATCCAACATTTTTTCATTTTCTTTAACCGGAGTAGTTTCACTTTCAGATTAAATGGATGATTTGCTTCACTGGTTCCCACTCCACTCCACTAACCTACTCCATATATTCAGTGTTCTGAATATATGGAGTAGGTTTTGTAATTGTAATTGTAGATTGTAATTTAGCATTCTGCTAAATTACAATCATTAAATATCAAATTACACAATCTTGCCAAGGGAATATCATCTTCTTCTGAAAAGTGATCAGAAGTAATGTTGTATTGAATTTCATCACCTGACAAAAAAAGATGTTTAAATGAATTTTGTATGACTGACACTGGAATTTTATTCCATGCCTGCACCACTAAATAAACAACATCTTTCAAACTTATATTTTTTGTTAGTTTATTTGGGCAAGCTTTTATAGACAAGACCAGTTTCGTCGCAATTATATATTCATTCAGACAAATAGCTATTTTCAGCAATAAAACTTTTTAATTTAGTTTTAAATGAACTAGCTAGCTCCACATGGCCAGATACTCTTTCCACAAACAGACAAATACTGTAAACCGTGGCCTTTTTTAAATTTCGTTAACCATCCATCACTTGCTACAAATGTTTCAGGTCCATTATTTAATCTATTTACTTTGAGTGCACACACACACACACACACACACACACACACACACACACAGAGTTCATTCCTGATAACTCAAACCACCAAAGGACCAAGGAAAATGGTTCAAGTTAACAAATGTTCTACTTAAGCGAACTCCCATTAAGTCAAGCTACGGCTGAAATGAGATATTAGTTCAAGTTGAGATGATTTATCTTTATTCAATACTAAAATATAAACATCAAATACACACTATATTATACTAATAAAAACATAAAAATGTTTAGCAACACAACAACTTCCTTATCATTTGATAATAAAATTTTTGCCTAAAAGCTAGAGATCTTTTATTAGGAAATTTATTAAACCAAAAAATAATTTTTTTAACTGTATTTTAACTGTATATTTTATTATGATTTATTTTATAACATTATTTAATATTTGTAGCATTATTTTATAACATTATTTAATATTTATAACATTATTTATTATTTGTAGCATTATAACAATCTATTCTATTCAGATCTAATTACAACGAAATAAGTTCCACTTATTGGGAATTAACTCTGTGTGTATGTGTTTATATATATATATATATTAGGGCTGTCCAAAAAAAAATTTTTTTTCAGATTTGATTGCATAGTTGTTTATTTTGTGCCATTTGACATATTAATTAACTGTGCAAAAAATCTTTCCGATCAGATAATGTTTAGGGGGTGCTCAATGACCATAAAGTTTTACGAAAAATGTGAAAAACATGGAAAAAGTAACAAAGTTCCACAAATTTCTAAAACGCGGTTAATTAGATTTTTCAGATTTGATCAGTTTTAATTATCTCTAAATATTAAATTCTGAATACAAATTACAATCCACATCCACTTTATACTGGTTTATTAGCAGAGAAATTAATGAAATAAAATACTGCAATACGACTAAAGTTCTGCGGTTTTTGTTATATCAGAATTTTTCCAAAATAAAACACTAAGATTTTTGACTCTTTGTCATTGATTAAAATACGAATTATAAACAAAAAAAATTATTGTAAAGGAGTAACAGTTTCTCAAACCGTTATCAACTACTAAGTAGGTCAACTCAAAAACATATGAGCAATTAACATTTAATTATCGTAATGTTATAGTTCGTGCAATGTTAATGTTAGCGAGGACTATAACTCTTCAGAGTACACTTTCTGGCATCTGGCACTCGCTTTCTGTGATCCTCAACCACCTGAATTAACCTCTGCATTTCAGATTCATTCCTTGTAATCGATTCATTAAACATCGACATTAAAGCCACAGATCGTTCGGCAGCATCATTTACTACTTTCAATGAATATACTAAATTTTTTCCTTCTTGGTATTCTGGGGAATCATTCCAGGTAGCTGGATCATTGTTAAACAGAAAATCAATATCAACCTTCATTGACCGCAACGCACTTGCTGAAACTGATGTCACCAGCATGTCCAGAGATTTCTTCTCTAGACTTTCAATGTTCTTTAATTTGATCAACCTTTCAGACCAGTTCTCACCGTGAAATTTCATGTTGGAAATCATTTTTCGCTTCTCTTCCGTTTTAAGTTTGTTTGAAAACAAAGCTAGTGGGACCAATTCTGGTGAAAGGTACCACAAATGGTTTTGAAATTTCTTGACTGCTGCTTCGGAAATTGTTTTATTCACAACTGCAAACTGCTTAAGTTGCTGAAACAGAAACAAGTCATTAACTGGAGCATCGCTGGCATTTGGGCATGATATCCAAGATTTTACATAAACCAGACTAGCAAATAAGCAAAATTCACAGAGATTTTTTTCCTCTTTTGTGGTCAACTTGAACTCTTCACGAAATAAATAAATCTTAAAACAATAAATAACCTTGGCCATCCAGCGAGCCATGTGATAAGCACCAGGGATCTTGAAATGATAAATTTTCTCTTCTTGATCAGGCAGTTTTCCAAGTATTAACAGACAGAGATCCATGATTTCTTTGTAGTCATCCCTTGGCATTTTAACATGCAGGTTTTCTTTGAGGAATGCCATCACTTCATTTTGTAGTTCTTGCACCAGGGGTATTTTCATTCGAATGTCATCCAGAGGTTTAAAATTTCCTTGATTAACTTTGGGCCAATATTGCTGAAATCTCTGGAAAAGAGGTATGTTGGGACCAGATGATGGTCCAAATAGTGATCCAAACACTCCTGCTACTATGATCTCATGAACATGGTGTCTGCAAGCAAAATATAACAAATTTCTACCTATATGTTTCTCTAGAACTACACATGCACCATTTTCGGAGCCAGTGTTAGAGGCTGTAGTATCAAAACTCATTCCAATAACATCACCAATTATGTCCCAGAAATTAAGCAGATGAATAACTGCTTTTGCTTGGGCTTCTCCAGTTCCAGCTGATAGTTTTGCTATTCCAAGTATTTTGTCAACATTGTGACCTGTCACACCTACAGATAGCCGGTCAACATTTGCTTTAGGATCTGCAGAATTTGTACGATCTATCATCAGTTTGCCATCCCAGTGGACGATTAATGGTGGTTTGTCCAAATCGCAGAATTCAGTTTGAACAGTGGCTTCAATGTTTGATCGATGATAGGTTCGTTTTCTACGGACTGTAGAACGTGACAATGATCCATCATCGAGGTTCTGTCCACCAGCCCTTGCAATTGCTGCTGCTAGTATAGTAAATTTTGTGTCAGATAGATTAATTCTGTCTAATGTTGATGAAACATCAGGCGAGTCAAGAATTGTATCTAAGATACATTGTCGTTTTGGAGTACTTGCTAAACTTGATTCAGCTGACCCTGAAGAACTTGCTTTACTGACTTGTTGTCTGTAATAAACAGGGATTTTTATCTCAAAATCTCTATCAACCATTTTGTCATTATCAACAGCATCGTTATCGTTGTCATCACTATAACTTTCGTCATGTAAAGGTTCAATAACAGGAACTATTGCACTCGCACCAGATTGTCTTTGCTCTTCTTTTAGCTTTCGTTCTCTCTCTGCTTGTTTCCTTGCTTCATTTCTTGCTTCTAATTTTGAAAGTTCTTTGTCCTCTCCAAACATCACCATTTTTCTCTGACATCTCTGATCCAATAAAAATTCTTTATCTTCTTCAATTCTGATCATGGTTTCAGCATCCTTGTGGGCAATGTCAAAAAGTAGGCCAATGGTGTCTGTAAATGATTTCTCTCTTGATTTCTGAGAATCTGACAATCTGGATTTTTTTTTTTTTATTAATTTAAATTCCTGGACTAAAGTTTTCAACTTTAAGACTACATTCGGATGAAATCCTGTCGGAATACGGGCTTTATTCCAAATAATAATCAGTTCATCAACAGTTGTTTTAATACTTTCAGGCACTGACTTTTTGGTTGAATTAAGATGATAAAAAAATGTTTTTAAAACATCAGATGTTAAGGGAAGAACTTCATCTGGAAGATTTGGCTCTGGTTGTCCAATTAAAAAGATTTTGGTTTGAAGTTGTGTAGAGATAGCAACACGAGATGATGCTGCCATTTCAATGATAACTGAAAAATTATGAGAAAATCAAAACTCAATACCATATTATACAAACTTATCATTCAGTTGTTGGTTTATGCAGCTGCAGCAATATATAATAATAATTATTACTAAAGAAATTAAATAAATATTTTCAAATTAGAATTTATTATTATCTGCACTTAATAACAAACAATACACTACCAGACTACCATGCTAGTTTTCTGTAATAGGTTACTAAGGTTAGGTACTATCAAAATATTAATACATTTGTTGTCAAACTGAAATTCCAAATAAAAATAATATTTATACTTGTAAACCTTTTTATTCTGTTTGAACAAATTCTAAATTGAGTTAAATAATAGTATTAAAATTATGAATACAAATTTTAACAAAATGATATAAACACAGTTGTTTTAAACACTAGCAGACATTTTTTAGTCTGGTGCCCTGATGACAGTTAATCTGCTGCATTTTAATTAATCTATATAGCACGCAATCAGACAATATTTCAGTGGAAAAAATCGTTCTAGAAATTTTTGGAACTTTGGAACTTTTTCCATGTTTTTGACGTTTTTCGTAAAACTTTATGGTCATTGAGCACCCCCTAAACATTATCTGATTGGAAAGATTTTTTACACAGTCAATTACTATGTCAAATGGCACAAAATATATATATATATATATATATATATATATATATATATATATATATAATATAACATTATATATATATATAAATATATATATATATATATATATATATATAATAATTATATATATAATAATTATATATATATATATATATATATATATATATATATATATATATATATATATATATATATATATATATATATATATATATATATATATATATATATATATAGGAGCGTATTTTTATTTGCTCACTTTTTTTGCTTACCTTAATACATATAAAGTGTATTTTTATTTGCTCACTTTTTTTGCTTACCTTAATACATATAAAGTGTATTTTTATTTGCTCACTTTTTTTGCTTACCTTAATACATATGACTTTTTTAGAAAAAGAAGAAAAAAAATGAAGAATAATGAATGAAACAATTGCTGCCCCATCCCAAACCCTCAGTCGATATAGCAGCACTCCACTGCAAGTCAGGCTATTTGTCAGTCGATGTATGTACTGAAGCCCCCCACAGCAGGCTATTTCAGTATGACGTCAGATTGCTTACCTTAGTACGCAATACTATTTGTGTGTGTATATATATATATATATATATATATATATATATACACTTATATAATTATATAAAAAATTGGAAAAACAAAGAAAATGTAAAAACTATTGCAGATTAAAAATAAATTTACCTTAGCAAAACTACTGACTTCCATGTATTTTCTATATCCAAAGGTAAAGGTTCATCATGGCCAATTTCATTTGTCACATTTTCTTTGTTTGTTCCTATTTCATTTAAACTCCATACACTTTGTGCTTTATGCAGAACATTCTTTAGAGAAATTTTCTTGCTATTTAAAACACTGTTTGAATAATCGCTAATTACAGACTCACATCTCTTCCTTCGTAATGGTTCTGATTGGTTTGTGTGATCTTTTAAGGAAAGAACTGAAATTTTTAATGACTCTGATTGGTTTATTTGATCTTTTAAGGAACTAACTGGAATTTTTGTGTTTCTAAAATTATTCAAATCATTTTGGGATAAACTTTTGCGAATTGTTCTACGCAGTTTTTTATTCTGTTTTTTTGGAGATTCTATAGAGGCTTGTATTGTATTTGAAGGAGATTTAAGTATTGAGTTAGAAGACTCACTTTCTAAACTTTTTGTTGTACAGTCACTTAGCTTTTTTATCTGAAATTTTTCCTTTTTGTCTTCATTTAAATGTCTTTTAACTCCAATTCTAGGTGGTTTTAAAAGCTCTGTAGCAATTTTTTTATTTAACATTTTAGAACTATTCTCTGACTTATACCCAGGAAGATTGGTTATGTCATTTTTACTATCAAGCAAAGCTATAGAATATTGGTGCTCACTTGGAACAGCTTTATCTAAAATATTCTTATGTAAAGATTTTCCTTGTCTTGTTCTAGGCAGTGAACTTTTTTCATCATCTATTTTGACTTTTTTTGATGGTGAACTAACACTACATAGAGTATCTTGAGAATCTGCTTTACTCATGCGAGAAAAATTAGATGATGTCATCGATGAACTACTCATTAACAATTCTTTTGTTTTTAGCTGCTTACTTGTGCAGGATTTTTTAACAATTTCTTTAGCTTCAACCAACCTTTCCTCATCTATATCATCATTTTTTTTCAATGAAAATGGCATTTTTTTACTTTTTTTACTAAACCTCAATGAGCTGCTTCTCATAAAATTACTTTGACTTATACTCGAATTAAATACATCACAAGATTCTTCGTCAGATTCATCAAACAAAAAGGTTGACATATTGCTATATGTTTTCATTATATTAATTTCAGTTAATGGTTTTCGAGTTGTTGAAGAGGCTTCTTGTTGGAATTTCTTCTTTTGTTTACTTAGTTCACTGCTCTTGTTATCTAAAAAGTTTAAATTCTCACAAGAAGTCGAACAAGAGTTTTTACGACCAAAGTACTTTAACACATTAGGTATTGAATTTTGCATTACAATGTTTTCTTTATCAACTTTTTCTGAACCAGCAGTATCGTTAACAACAAATTGGTATAAAAAGTTTGTATCTTGAAATTGTCTGTAACTTTTACCTAAAACACTTTCAAAAATGTTATTTTCGAGAAATTTTTGTAGAAGTAAAAATGCTTGTTTTCTAGTTACATTTGCATCAAATGCAGGGCTATTTTGAAGGTATGCATGCATCCAATTAAGAGCTTCAGCACCAGAAAAACACTGTTCATATGTTTTTAAACGCCAGCGCTTTTTCTTTAGTATCATGCCTTCTTTAAAACTGCTGAGGAGTTGATTCCACTAAAAAATATGTATGTATGCATGCATACTTACATACGTAAGAAGATATGTATGTATGTATGTATGTATGTATGTATGTATGTATGTATGTATGTATGTATGAATGTATGTATGTATGTATGTACGTATGTATGTATGTATGTATGTATGTATGTATGTATGTATGTATGTACGTATGTATGTATGTATGTATGTATGTATGTATGTATGTATGTATGTATGTATGTATGTATGTATGTATGTATGTATGTATGTATGTATGTATGTATGTATGTATGTGTGCATTTATACACACACACAATTTTTATTTTATTTTATCTTAATAACTAAACACATTAATAACTTAATGAAGTAGTATTATAGCTTTTTTTGAAAACAAGAAACTCTGAGTTCAATCTGATCTCTGGTAGTACCACACTCAACTTATTTCTCCGCACAGTGGCATTAGTTTGAGAAGAGAGAGAAAAATATTAGACTTTAGGGACAACATTGATACTGCAATCAGAAAGGAATAACTTAAAATTGAAAAAAACTTCCCAGATGCGACATATGAAGGAAGCTTTTAAAAAAAACTAGCATGCCAGACATTACCAAAAGTTGTTAATGTGTCAAGAACAATACCCTTTGCCTTGCTGCTTCTTGTAAGACTATGACAGGAATGTTGTCTGGACCACAAGCAGTGAATGAGTTAAGGAAACAAAAACTTTAGCAATTGAAGCTGAAGTGATTTGGATGTCTAACAATTACCTGTTTAACTGGGATGGCAGGAAGAGTATGGCCATTAGATTCAAGAGTTGAGTTAGATGAAGCATACTTAACAAATAGCTCTGCCTTATCTTTGCGAGATGTAATCATATCAAAACAATGTATTACAGAATAAATGTTAGAATAGAAGCTAGGAGATTATGTAGGAGGTGCAGTTAACAGTAAAGAGACAAGAAACATCACAAAAATATCTTTTTTGTCTTGCAACACAAACTCGCAAAAGGAATTAACTTGTTGATAATTTAAACCAAGTTAAATTTTTATTAAATGATAATTAGATGTAAGTTTTAATTTTATTCAAAAGACTAGTAATAAGTATAATAGTCTGAAGAAGATATAAGTTTTAAAATGATTAAAGCATGATTAGAACCAGCTAAAATAGAACAAGAAGAAACTGAACACAAACTAGGGTTAGAGACATGACACATATCAAGAAAAGAAAGTAGGTTATAAAAATTGTCTTAAAAATGAGTCTTGAAATGAACCATCTAAGCAAGAGATTGGAAAATAAAATAACTACAAACTTGGTTCTAGCAGGGTCAGTGGCACAAGAGCCAAGCCATTCAGTGCAATAGCATTAAAGTCACCAATAATAATAATATTTGTTGGTGGATGAAGAGAAAAAGGTCAGCTAATTTGATCAGAAATAACAGAAAAAAATTTAGTTTTGAGAAGGAGAACAATAAAGAACAAAGAGGTGATTGAGTAAAGAGCTGTTAAACAAAAGTACATTAAAAAAATGGTCAGAGGATTCAAACCTGATTTTAAGACAAGTAGGTGAATTAATAGGTGAGTGTATACCCAGATTAAACATGACTGTTGAAGCCTTTAAAAACCAAAAGATAATAGCCATTAACACTGAAACATGAAGATTTGAATTTTTTTGACACAAGATCTATTGTTGGATGGAAATTATGCAGTAGTTATTACAAAAGGGTACAGAGTATAAATAAAAAATTAGAATCAAATGATCGATGCTATAGCAGGGTTGAGTCTGAACATTAACAACGTTCAGCTCTCAATGAAAGTTTTTAATCTATAGGTGTGTCACCTATTAAGCTTAAATCAGTGCCAAAACACCGACAATTACCAGATATTTGATCAAATAACTGAAGCAACAACAAACAAAATAAATCAATTTTATAATATTGATCCTATGAAATATATGATTGCAAGTATGACAATTTTTGGATTAGAGTTATAACCAAAAAATATGCATCCACATAGTTTCAAGTTTTTTTTGGCCCGCACAGAGAGATATGAATTGAACCCCATCAAATTATGTTTTAGGTACCATTGATTCGCCATCTACAACAAATGGTCACATATATAAAATTTTAGAGACTGAGTTAAAAAAAATTATTAAAAAAAATAATAAAGATTTATAGAAAAATTTTTAATGTGCTATTATTTTTATATTTGTATGTTATTTTTTCAAATTTAGTTAGATACAATTTTATGTGAATATGTGTAATTGGCACAATTTTGCTACAAAATGCTCCTAGTCACTTGTCTTTATGTTAAAAAAAAAGGCTCCATTTATAAAAGTTGAAAAATGCAGTAATATATTTTTTATTAATAGTGATGTTTGATACCTATATTGTAAGTTATAACAATCCCTCAAAAAAAAATAACAAGAAGACATCACCATTTTAACTGTCCAAATACCCCAAAATATATACCTTTAATATGTAATTTATATGTAACAATGGGTGGCCTATAACTCAACCTAATTTTGAAATTTCATAAATCGTAGATTATGATGTTTTTGATTTTAAACCGACAATTTTTTATTTTTACATTTACACCTAATTAAAACATGTACTACTAATTTTCTAACCTACTAAATCATTGACCTACTGTATTTTTGACCTACTGAATCTTCAACCTATTGAATATTCAACCTACTGTATTTTCAGTATTATAACTAAGCCTTTCTGGTATGAATTTTATATATTTGTTGTTGATTTTTGATATTGATTTTGATACGAGCCAAATTTAATCAGCCTTGGCGCAGTGGTTGAAGTGCTGCCTTAGGAATCAGGAGGTATAAGGTTTGATGAATATTTCAAAAATTTATTGGTTGATAATTTAAAAAAAACATTAAAAACACAGACCAGATAATCGGTTGAAATATAATTTATCTCAAATCTGTTGAAAACGAAAATCTATAAAATAGGTCGAAAAATAAATCAGTTGAAAACAAACACGTCATAAATTGGTTGAAAATAAAAAAGACTATAATCTGTTGAAAACAATTTAGGCCTCAGTAGATTTTCTAAAAATTAGTTCCACTTTTTGGTAGATGTTCTTTTTGTAGAACAACTTAGTAGGTCGAGATTTTTTGTAGGTCTAACTGTCTAAGTTTTTGTTAAAGATTCTTGTTTAACTAAACAAAAAAGTTCACATTGTTAAAAACAAAATAATCACTATTCACATATCTTTAATAGCATTTTTTCAATTAAGGAAAAATGTTAAAGTTATACTTCAATTAAAACTCATTTTTTCATGTTAACTTGCGTCATTCTGTTGAAATTAGAACGCAAATTTCTACAAACAATGAATGGTGATTTGTGAATGAGACTTCTTTATATAAAACTAAATTTATATAAAGAAGTCTAATATACAAAAATAATATTTGTTGCTTAATGTGTTGCTTGGACATAGCTGAAAACAGAAACTATTTGAAATGGTTTTCTTAAATCAAGAACTAAAGTGAAAAAGTGTGCTGATGCCTTTCTAGATATGGATGATCTTTTTAAAGATCCCATTTAACAGAAAGAAAATTTGCAACTTTATATCGAAGTTCTTTTATGAAAGGAACAATGGTAAAAAAAAGTATTCTTCATGGATAATTTTCTCAATTTTAATATTCTTTCAACACTACCAAACCAATTATAAATGATAAAGAGATTATATAAAACATATTGAGAAAGAAAAGTTTGAGACTGAAGAAGATAAAAATAGAGATCTAAACTATTTGATCAAACCAAATTACTCTTAATCTGGTGATATAAATCAAGCCCTGGAGGTACTAGGAGACTACATAATTTTCAGTGATAATAAAGTAAAGATACAACAAGCTGATAAACGTTTCTCCTTTAACTAAATCTTTTTTCACAATATTTTTATTAGTATGTCTCACATGTTTATTCATAATTTAGCATTAATTAAAGAAAACTATTGTCTCATATCTTAAAAAGTTCGCTTTAAAAACTTTATTTTAAATGAATATATGTTAAGTTGAACCATTTTCCTTGTGATTTAGATGACAAACAATGGATTTTGGATAAGAGGAAGAGTATGGTTATTAAGTTTATTCTGAGTTAAACTATTATAAAGTTACTGGTAAAATTTATTAAAGCTACAGTGGGTGTAAGCACATTATTCCTGACTCCAAATATAATAAACTTTAAGTTGTGACTTAAACTTCACACCCTTCATTTTTAAAAACATTCTAAAATTTCTAAAACTTACAAACTTTTCCAAGTTTAATGGATTTTAATCACCCAATAAATAAATTTATTGAAACACGCTCCAAGAAACAAGCTCCACGAAATTGTAGTTTAATTGATATTTATAGAACTCTACTCCTTTTATAGGGCTAAGCCTATAAAATAATCATAACTTGCTTATGAAATGTATTTACCATAAATTATTATAAAAATGTAAATAAAAATAATAGATAAGATTTAAAATTAGCAATATATATGTGGATGTGTGACACATTCACAAAAGATGTATTGAAAAGAATTTACTAAATTAATTTCTTAATAAATTATCAAAAAGATTTTATTTAATTTTTTCTGTAAATTATTAAAAACTTACCAACTTTGTAGCTTTGTATGGTGAAGCTGGTTTTTTCATATTGTTTATATATTGTGTCATTTTATTATGATTTATTTTAAATTTATTGCAAGCTATTATGAAGTTGATAAACCTAAAAAAAATTAAAGCTATATATAAACAGAATCACCATCACCTAAATAGTATATATATATATATATATATATATATATATATATATATATATATATATATATATATATATATATATATATATATATATATATATATATATATATATATATATGTACTTTTTTTGCCAACCTGATGTCGACCTCTAACAGTTTAAGGTCGGTAAAAAACCTTATTACAAACCTTGGAGTTAAAAAAAATACCACCTCATTTTTCCAAAGTCTGAAGTTTCTCTGAGTTTTCCAACTCATTCTGTAATGCCAACCAAAAAGTGTTTGAGTTCGGCAAAAAATTGCCTACCTTGTTTCTTTGTTATATGGTAACCTTTTTGTGTCAAATTTTTTACAAATATATACAGACAAGAAAATTAACTATAATTTGAGAATGATTCTGAAAAGGTGAATTAAATGTTTAGACAAAGTTTTGTTTTGTTTGACATTGCAGCATGCCTTTGTCCTAATTTAAGTAATTGTGTATGCTCTAGAAAATCAAAGGTGTCATGAAGTATTTGAGCATAAATTTTTAATAGACAAAAGAAATATTAAAATATGGTTATGAATCCTTTTATATTAACCTAAACATTTAAGTAGCACCAAGAGACAGAAATACTATAATTTATTTTCTTCTAGCAAAATTTGTATGCAAGTATCAGTTAATATCACTTAATATATGAAGAAATTAACTCTGATGATAAGGAGTTTATTGATGACACACAGAGCAAAATTAATTTTTTTTGATGGGCGAAATGATAAAACTCTTTCATTTATTAGTGACTAGCAGTAAAGACTTATTACTAAAAAACATTTATAGAAGAAATTTAATAGAATAATAGAAGAACTTCATTATATTATTTTTGGTAATGTTTATCATACGCATATATATCATGAATGGTATAATAAATTTTTTTGATGAAAATAAAACATCACTTGATAATGTGTTAGCTATTGGTGCTGATGAAACAATTGTAAATAACAGTGTGAACTTCTGGAATTGTATTTTGGGATAATTAAATCAATGGTTAGTATTTTTTTTATTTCAATAAACTATTTGAGCTAATTGAACTAATTGAGACAACTAGTATTGCATTTAGATGGAATCACTTCTGGACCTACTGCATTAAATGGCAACATTGGGAAAGCATTTGCAAAATGTCACTAGTTTTGATAATTGTCAAATTTGATGTCATATACAGAACAACATACAGAATATTTTACATAAGATTGCGACAATTAATATTATAAAAGATCAACAGTGCCTTAATAATGTGCAAGACAATAGAATTCGATAAGGTGAAAAAAAGTCTAGTAAAAAAAAAGAACCTGGCTCATATCTAAAATTGATTGACTTATAATTGGTAAATGCATTAAAAGAAATGCATTTAAAAAATGCATACTTTTATCTAAAAAAAATCTTGATTTCAATGTTGATTGATGAACAAAAAGAAATTGAAGAACTAGCAACGAGAAGAATTAAATTTTGTGAATTAAATTCAAAATTCCTCTTCTAAACTTTGATGCAGTTGATTAAAATAATCTTGCAAATTGGGAGGAACTTTCAAGGACTTTACCACCCAGTGATTTCATAGCCTGGAACACCGTTCCGGTACTTTATTTATATATATATATATATATATATATATATATATATATATATATATATATATATATATATATATATATATATATATATATATATATATACATATATACTATTCAACCGTTCCTGCACTTTTATTTTCTACATTACACCACTGTTATCACCCATGTTAAAAGTATAAAGTCATAATTTAATTAAAAATACTTTACAAAATATACAATAATTAACTTAAGATGATTTTCCATACCATTATCAAACTGTAGAAAGTTAAATTGGTTACAGAAACAGTAGCAGCAGCTGCATTTGAAATGAGAAGAGATGGATATATTAGAGCATTTTATCTAGAAGGTTTAATAATAAAATAATAATAAATGTAAGAAGTTATACAAAAAATTGAGGTTTCAAGTATTTTGAACAAAATGGTTTCGATAACGGCATTGCCTACGAACATTTTAAATGAAAGTTCATAAACAAAGAAAAATTTTTTTGCATATTGTATTTCTTCAAGTTTTTATGTAATTTTCTACTAATTTATAATTGCTCTTTTATTAACATTGAGCCCTCTACTTTGTAGAATATATCTAAAATTATATATATATATATATATATATATATATATATATATATATATATATATATATATATATATATATATATATATATATATATATATATATATATATATATATATATATATATATATATATATATGTGTGTGTGTGTGTGTGTGTGTGTGTGTGTGTATACAACCCTTGAAATTAGGAAAAAAGAGGTTGGCAATAATTTGCCGATCTTAAACTTTTAGAGATTGGCATCAGGTTGGCAAAAAAATTTGATACAAAGGTTTTACCATAAAACATAGAAATGAGATCGGCAAATTTTTGCCAAATTTAAATACTTCAAGGTTGGCAGTTAGGTCGGGATTGCCAAATGTCCTATTTCAACAGATTTATACTTTAAACTACTACCTTAAAGCTGATTGGGATTCCTCTCATAATTTTCATTGTGAAAATACTTTTGCTGATTTTTTGTTTCATTGCTTATAATTGCACCTCAAATGTAATCTCCTGGATTCAGACAGGAATGGAACTTATTCCTTCATGTCAATTATAAGTCAAGCCTCAGGTCTATTGTTCTCATTTTACTAAATCTAGTATTTTATCTCAGAAGTTAGGTTCTAGAGACTTTCTGAAAACCTTTAACAAAGAAATGTTTAATATATCAACTCTCATACACGGATATTTTACTTCATACTTACTTCCCACCAACTATATTGTTGAAGGTAAATTAAATTTTAAAGTGTTTTTCATTGATCAAAGCATACTTTATTTTTATTAGGGCAATAAAATTGATTTCTATAAAACCCTTTTTAAAGATTCTCAGTTAATATTTAACAAAATCGAAACTTTTTTTAGTACTCAATGTTTCTGTTAATACAGCTGTTAATATAACATAGCATTGAAAAACAAAATCTAGAAAAACAGATTATTTTCAAATCTAATGATTTATGTCATACATTATATATTGTGTATGATTCATAGTCATATTAAAAGCAACTTACCTAGATTCTAGGTAAGTTGCTTTTAGAATACACAATATGTAATGTATGACACAAATAATTAGATTTGAAAGTATTCTGTTTTTCTAGATTTTCTGACCTAAAGCATTTTTTAAAAGTTTTTTGCTCATGGATTATTAATTGTATGGTGTGGACAAAGATTTAAGAGCTTTTATACCTACCACAAATAAAGTTTTTTATATCAGTTTTCCTTTTTCTAGGCTATAAAAAGCAAAACTTTTAGAAAAAGCAAAAAACTTTTAAAAAAATCAGACTAAAAGTCTAATCATCTAAATCTTAATAGCAAACTATAAAACAAAATATATGAAATAAAATTTTAGTACATCAATTAAATACGGTAAATTATATTATACTTCAAAATATTTCATACATTACAAATAACTAATACTTTTATCTACAAATAATCTTTTAACGCTGTCTAAAATTTAAAAAAACTATTAAATTATAGTAATGAAAAAAGTAACATAAATCAAAACTTTAAAAGTACTTTATCCTTTATATGTAGCGTAAAATAGTATCGTTCAATAACTAATTGTATTTTATGTTTGATAAGTTATTAACCAATTTACAATACTATGAGACACAGAAGCCTGATACACAATATTAAATTAAAAAAATAAAACAAAATTTTTTTTTAGCTTTGTTTTTGTTTTTTCTTTTTCCTGTTTTCTGCTATATACTATAAACTTTTTTATTTATTACCAATATCGACAGATTCGTTTTGAAAAATCTATTTAAAAAAGCTTTGTCGACAGTTTTGCCAAGTTATATTATGTAAATAACCAATACTAACATATACAAAAGCTGTTATATAAAAAAACTGGGTAATTATAAAAGAACTCTTCGTTGAATTTGTTTTCATACATAAAATAACAAACAGTTCAAGTGCCACGTTGTTTTAATTACTTTTTTTTTATTTTCCAACACAAGAGTTGTTAAAGAGCATTTAAAAAAACACACATAATTCGGTTAGCGCCAATTTTTTATTACTCGAAACTAATTTTAAAATGCGCGGGTGTAGAACTCATTTCATGGATTCGCGCGCGGTTGTTGAACGATATTTTTGACATCTAGAAGGAAATAAATTTTTTATTCAAATTTTTTCAAAGTCAAATAAACAGTTAAAGTTATATTATTATTATAGTTGTAGCCGTAAATTTACATAGAATGTACACATACAGCGAGCAGGGGAAACACCCCACTATAAACAACCAGTTTTATAAATATTTGTTCCAAACTTTTTCCACAACCAGGAGTCTAGTCTATTTTTGAAAGAAAGTACAGTGGAGTACAAAGTTATTTGCTCTGGTAGATTGTTCCAGTATTTTGCTGATCTATTATACAAATGATTATATCTTGGAAGACAGTTTAGAACATACTCACGCCTTATTTTAGAATGGTGACCACGAGACACGGAGTTAATATATTTTGGTAGATATTTATCATTAACTATATCAAAACGATGTATTAATTTAAAAATTTGGATTAAATCGCATCGAAGGCGTCGAAACTCAAGTGATGGTAGGTTTAATCTTTTTAGCCTTTCGCAGTATTGAAGATGCCTCAAGCTGTAAGCCCATTTTGTAGCTTTGCGTTGAACAGATTCAACCAAAGCCATATCAGCTTTTAAAAAAGGAGCCCAAATGGACACTCCATATTCAAGATGTGGTCTTATAAATACTTTATATAATTTGAGAGCCATTTTTTCATCAATGAAAGTGAATGTCTTTTTCAGCATACCGAGAATTTGTAAGGACTTAGAGACAACTGTTTGAATATGAGCGCTC